CTCCTCCTCCTCCTCCTTCCTCCTCCCCCTCCTCCTCCTCCTCCTTCTTCTCCTCCTCCTTCTTCTTCTTTGAACATGTCTTTCCCAGGGTGCACCTGGTGCCTTGTTCCCATTGCAAGCTAGTCAGCCTTCTTGTTTAATCTGCTGGGAAGGCCACATCAATGCTGAAAGCCCATTGTTTGTTTCTGATGTGGACCTGGATGTGTTTTAGTACAGCATCTCTCTCTAGAACAATGACTTTGCCTTGTACTTAGGGTCTTGTCTATCACAGCTCTACAGGTACCTCCCCTACTAGATACGCAATCAATTTTCATTCAATTAAAGCTATTAGAGTGCTAATACACTAAACTCTCCGGTGCATTCAGGGTAGTATGGCTGTAGGCCCAAGTTCTTCTTTCAAACGTTAAGTTTTTCCTCTAGAGTATATTTCATCAAATTTGATCTATTCTTTTAAAAAAGTTTACATTCCAGAGAAAGTATGTATATTCTCTGCATCTTCAGCACCCACAACTGCTCAGCACATAGTAGGCATGTTTGTTTAAAATTCTTTAATATTTATATTCCTAGCATTTTTCTTTAGATTTTATATGAGTGCTTATGGTCCAGAGTTCTAATCTGTCAATCTTCAATGTCTTTTAAAAGACATCTTTATTCTCTTAGCCTATGTCTTTATCTCACACAGTTAGTAGAAGGCCACATTTCACATTGCGATAGCTCATCCATTCACATTTGGTGTTGAGTTTAGGTAAATAGCAGTCTGTAAGACACCTGCTACTAAGAGTTTTTACTGCCCTGGTGACAGACTCTTTCGCTTTGAGAACTGTCTTTCAGCTAGTCATCATCAAGTTTGGTTCACTGGTGAAAGATAAATTTTCTGGCATCTAGAAGGAATTGCTTTATAGGAAAAAAGCATTACAATGTGGTTAAACAAAATACAGAATTGATATATGTTAAACTTTAGTATCTCAAAAGAAGAAGAACTGTAATTAAAGGCAATGTGGGGGAATGTATGGTGTTGAATACTAAGGGAAACACCCCGGGAAGGAACGTGGACTACGACGACGATCAAAGATCTCCTTATTTCAGGGGATGGACAGATGCCAATGGCTGGAACTAAGAAAAGAAGCTGCTGTAACCAGAGCCGGTTTTCAGTCAAGAGGACATTGTTGGATATTCCCTGCCTTCTTGCCTGGCAGAGAAATCAGAGTTAGACTATATAAACCTTTAAGAAGAAAAAGAAACTAATTTCTCTTACAGAGTTTTTAAAATCTACCATAAAAGGCCATTAGAAATAATATTTGAAACCCTTAGGATGTTGTGCTTCATGATAAGTTACTTA